ACACCCCCCCCGTGTCCCCCCCCCCCCCCCCCCACAAAGACATGAGAGAAACACAGAAAATCATATACAATTGAGCTAGACATAGAAAAACAAGTTTTGACATTCATCCTTGACATACTTAGCAGACATGGGATCCTTGAGGGTCTCCAGATATTTTGCAATGACAAAAGCTAGTTGCCAGTTAAAGGCAGTTGGGGAACCCAGAATTGGCATAATAGTTGGAGAACCCGGGATCCTCAAACCAGTTGGAGAACCCAGGATCCCCAAACCACTTGGAGAACCCAGGATCCCCAAACCAGTTGGAGAACCCAGGATCCCCAAACCAGTTGGAGAACCCAAGATCCTTGAACCAGTTGGAGAACCCAGGATTCCCAAACCAGTTGGAAAACCCAGGATCCCCAAACCACTTGGAGAACCCAGGATCCCCAAACCACTTGGAGAATCCTTGAACCAGTTGGGGAACCCAGGATCCTTGAACCAGTTGGAGAACCCAAGATCCTTGAACCAGTTGCAGAACCCAGGATCTCAGAACCAGTTGCAGAACCCAGGATCCCCGAACAAGTTGCAGACCCCAGGATAAAACAACAGTATTCTGGAAACAGTTGGATAACCCAAGATCCCCAAACCAGCTGGAGAACCCAGGATCCAAGCTGCAGTTGCAGAACCCTGGATCCTTATAACAGTAGAACTTAGGATGACCACAACAGCTGGAGAACCCAGAATCCCATCTATACTTTGACTCTTGCAGACAGAAGGGGGTACATCACTGAGGCGCCTCTCCAATTCCTTAATAATATTTATCATTTTTACAACATTGTAAAGTCTTTGTGAATTCTAAATGGGGCCCATTAGGAGACCGTGATCTCATCTTCTGGGTCCACATCAGAGTCCGACTCTGACAAGTCTGAGTTTTTGCTGTGCCTGCTGGAGTGATACGGCGAGGAGGGGAGCTGTGTTTCCACCTCTAGGTGGAGCTCTGTACGCTGATAAGGCAAGGCATCATCCTCCCCTTCTGAAGACTTCTTGCCCACGTCGCTGAGGTCGGGGTTGGGGTTAAACTTGGTGGGTAGGGTCTGCTCTCTGCACCCACCGGAGGACAAAAGTTCTCTTTCTTTGGAGTTCCTCCATTTCATCCTTCTGTTCTGGAACCAGATTTTCACCTAGAAAAATTAGGAAATAGCCAACGTCAGGAAAAACTGTGTGCTGTGCTGGTGGGTGAACTGAAGTCCTGTCTGGAGTTCTAGATCATTCCGGGTCAAATTTAATGGGGGTTGGGAGAATTGGGTTTTAGTAATGACGCCTTAATTTTTTACCTTATTCCAAAAGTTACTCAGTAAATCCTCCCAGTTATGAGCAGCCATATTCTTTAGGGGCTCACAGATTGATCGTATGGTTAGTGGCAAAGTTGGCCATGGATAATGGAGGATGGTTGGGCATGAAGATAGTCATAATTTGGGCCGTCCAATCACTATTTCAGCTTGTGAGTGGCCCTTATCCTCCTGAATTTCATGGACAGAGTCCGTGAAAAGGTATAAACAGCACCCTGTATTTTTAGGAGCCCACAGATCTTTATCATAGCCCCAACACCCCGACAAGGCTCCTCACCCCATCCACAATGGGATTACTCAATTGAAACACTCACCTGAGAATCTTTCAGCCCAAGTTTGCCGGCCAGCTTCTTCCGGTCCGGCTTGCTGATGTACTTCTGTTTCTGGAACATTTTCTCCAGAGCTTTGCGCTGGACGTCAGAGAAGACGGCTCTGCGCAGCATCCCCCTGCGGGGCTTTCCACGGGCTGCTAGGGGCCATGAGAATGTGCCTGGCATGGGGATCACCGCTGAGGAAGCTGGAGAAAGGAACAAGAAAAATATATGGATGTTAAAAGGAGAGCTCTAGTCAAGAGAGACATGATCAGCAAAATGTAATATCAGGTCTCGTTTGTTGGGTGTTTTGTTGGGTTTTCAAAGTCTCCAAAGGTTCCTTCACTGAGTTCCATGACTCCAGCATACCCAATCAGCAGCATTTTGGGGCCACACTGGTCTGCAGTTGGTCTACTCCTCACTATACACAGTATGTGTCAACCCCAATATACCAGCAGCCTTTTGGGTCATATGAGACCTCAATTAAATAAATTGTTTTCAGCCCAAAACCACATATATAAAGTAGCTGCTTATCTAAGTCTATGTAAAGCCAAATTTGTATTTTAGGTAGAGTGTGGAAGGGTTAGAAGAACCCTGGTCAGGTTTTTATTGCTGTGCGAGTCCCTGTTGGGGAGATTCACCCTCTCGATTTGTCCTGGGTAACCATTGTGTAGCATCGGGGAGGTGTATATATGTTCATAATTCAGATGAAGCCAAATTTGTTCATGCACCAAACTCATTGGATGATTCTATATCTAATATTACCTCTCTCCTTCTTAAAATGACGCCTGGCTGAGCCTAAATGGGTCGGCCAATGCGTCCACATCGAGGGTTCATATTGAATGGGCCACCATGCACCAAAATATGTGTGCTGCAGTGCAATGTGTTAAGTCGTTGGGCTGCTATTCATAATGAGTGTGCATGTTGCTGCACAAGTGTGACCGGACCCCTGAAGCTGGGGTTGAGTTTTAAGCTTTTAGAATCTTTGAAAACTTCCCTCTGCCTAAAAGTGAACTGAACTCATCTCTGGGGCAGAGGCTCTCCAGGAATGCAGAGCAGATAATAGCTGAGCTAATTAGAACTCTGCCTGGCCCTGGATGGAGGAGGAGGAGGAGGGGGGG